TTTTTTTTTTTTTTTTTTTTTTTTTTTTTTTTTTTAAGTAAGTGCAAGGAGCACATTGTAGATTAACTAAGTAGAATGTGGTAAAGGCATAAACCAGTAATGGTCGTTTCTTACTATTTTGTAAGTGGTATATATAATTGTATTGCTTGATTCTCTGTAGAACTTTGCACTAGCATCTCTACATACGAGAGGGATGTGACACTATGACTTTGAGAGGGAACAGGAAATTTGCTTTCGGCTCCATCACAATCAGTGATGGAAACATTGCTTGTGGTACCCGCTGTCCTGCTGATGTTGGTTCTATTGTTTTGTGCGCCGTGTGCTGTGAAAGGAATCCCACGCGGTCTTATGTAATAAGATCCCACTGTTAGCCAGGCCAGGCAGCCTCTCTGGCCTACTCCCCACCTCCTCCCATCTGCATCTATGTGATCCTCTTTGGTAGGATTCTACCTTCAGCAGAGCCGAACTATCCGAAGTGCCCTATGGTGCCTGTCACGTTTCTTACGCTGTGGCTTCTTGGAATGTGCTTTCTACTTTGTCCAGGGGCAAATCTCAGATCACCCTCAAGACCCATAGAATTGTCGCCACTTGAGAAACCTTCCCGACCTGGAGTGTGGCTGACTTCTCCCTCCATGGTGTCTCTTCTGCACAGTGTACTGCTGCATCCGGGCCTCTGCTCTCCCTGCCTGTGTCTGTGTCTCTGGGCTCCAAGCTCCTTGGGGTCAGAGTCCCCATCGTACTCCTCTCCTCACACAGCATCTATAACACAGCATTTGCCAAATGTCCGCATCTCTCACCTACGTTCCTGAGGTTTTAACAACACGGAGCAGTGCACTTACCTTGGATATCAGCGTGCAGCTCGCCCAAATGGCCAGTACCTGGGGACTTTGCTTCCCCTGGGTTGGCAGTTGGACCTTCCTGGGTGCCAGGCTTCTCCCCAGACTTCCATTCATGTGCACTGGAGACCAGTAGCAGGTCTTTCAAATCATCCAGAAGAGCGTCCACTTCCTGCTGGCTGAGGTTCTGGGTCCTGCCCATGATTCTTTATGGGATTTGTGGGTCACTACCAGGTGCAAGCTGGATGGACATCAACAACCCTACCCCCAGCACAGCCCCTTTCCTGAAATCAGATCAATCCATCATGATCAGGGAGCGGCGAGAGGAAGGGGTTGATTATAACCAACCCGTGTTTGATCAGCCCAGACCTGAAGGTGGTAGCAACAGTCTGAAGAGTTGTTTCTCAGATTCTCTAGATGGTTCCAGGAGACAAACTACGGAAAATGTCACCACCACCTTATTTATTTAGACCTGCTTGTTTTCTGCTGTATGACTTCTGGTGGCCTCCTGTAAAAAGTAGAAGGGGATCAAGAACTAATATTTACCGAGCACCTACTATGTGCTAATCCTGAGCCAGACATTTTAGATATTTTAGGGTGAATTTGCCTGCACCACAGGACATTCCCCTAAAAACCAACAAGTCTTACTGCAGACCACATATCGCCTGATGGTTAAGAGGGCCAGCTTGGTACCAACTCTGCCTCTTACCTCTGGAATCTTGGGCAAGTGACTTAGCCTCTCTGTGTGTCAGTTCCCTCGTCTGTAAAATGGGAATGTCGTGCTGCTGCGCTACACTCCAGATCCTCTTCTGGAGGCCCTGCCTCATCACTTCCAGGCTCAGAGTGGGAGGCAATGGTACTCACGTGACCACCCTACTCCATCCCAGGGAGAAGCAAGCCAGGATGGCTGCTGCCGGGGCCACAAAGCCTCCAGGCCCAGAATGAGCATGGACAGGTTATAGCTCCAGCCCACACTGCCCGACACTGCCCCCTTCTGGTGAGCTGCTTTGGCTTGTTGGAGTTTTCTCCTGCCTGCCTGGCTGAGGGTTACTCTGCACTGCACCACAGCTGCTGCCCTGTCTACCCAGCAGGAAGCCTGCTTTCCTTCCCTCCTCCACTCTCCCCCTTTATCATTCCCAGCTTTCCTGCCCGGCAAACCTCTGGCACACTGACTCCCATCATGGCAACATTCTTGCAGGATGCATCCATAGCATAGCACAGGAAGCAGCGTTAGTCCCTACTTCATTCATACAGCTGCGAGCCGCACACCTGCTCCAAACACAGACTGAGCAGAGCCAAAGTGCTAGAGCTACAACTGTCGCCCCCAGTGGCAGATCTGTGGGCTGGCAGAGACCTAACAAAAGTCCAGCCTTAGCAGGGCCATTTCTCAATCCCTACCAGCCGGTTTCAGCAAGGCTACCAAAATCACCTCCCCCAAACTCAAATGTTTGCAACAGTCCAAGGACTGGTTCAAGGATTAGCTCCCACCTTGGCTCAAAGAAATGCTGAGACCACTGCGAACCCCGAGTCTGGTCTGGCTGTCCTCGCTGGGGTGTGGGGTCCTCTCCAGTGGGTGATGGGGTCGATGAGGCTACTGTCCAAGGTTCCTCCGAATTGCAGCATTCTAAGGCAAAGATCTTGTCAGCCTCCGTCTGTGGCCTCGGATGCAGCCAGCCACCTTCCCTCCCCGAGTTGTGTCTTTCCTTGCCACCCACTCCATTCTGTTCTGGGTATGGAAAGGCCACAGGCCAGAGGGGACTGGGCTCATCTAAGGATGACAGTCCACAGACTGAGGAGCAGGGGCGGGAAGGAGGGTTGTAGCGGGAGGAGTAAGCCATTCCCACCTGCTGGGGTCTTGTGGTGTCTCTGCCAAGCACCTGGGAAAGCATCTGAATTCTGATGGAGGGCGGGCGCTCCTTCCCATCCCTCTGTTCTCCTCCACATTCAGCATCCCTGATCCATGGGGAGGCTCGGATTGGACTTGACACAAAAGTTTCCTTCCCGGTGGTATTTTCTGACATTGTCGCTCCTGCATGGAGCTGCCGAAGAGAGGGGCTTTATCTTCACTTCCCCTGAAACTCTCTGCTCCCTAGATATGATTTCCCTGCATAGGGACAGCTGGCTCCGGGTAACGGTGCTGTTTCAGCAACCCAACTCCTCTCATTATGTCTGAGAGGACATCTGCCTTGGATTACCTGCCCAGGTGGCCTACCTGCCCAGGTGGCCTACCCTGCATGCCTTCCAGGACCCTCGCCTGTCACCCCATCACCTCTAGCTGAAAGCACCCATGGCAACAGCATCCCTCACCTGTGACTTGGGCCATCTCTCTGCCTCCTGGCTCCCATCTTCCCAGCTTCTACCACTGAAGGCTCTTGTCCTTCCATGACTGTGCAACTGCTAGTCATGAAAATGGCAGTGTGGATTATTTCTGAAAATGTTTAACTCCCAGAAAATCTAAGAAAGTTCTAGTTGGTCTTTTCTGGTAAAAATACCTTTTAATGAAAGGAAGTTTCTGTTGAGTGATAAATGTGATATAAGCAGCCTTGAATCTTGCTTTATTGTGGCCACAGGAGATGATCATGTGCCAATACTCAGCTCACAAGAGGGACTGATTGAAGGGAGACCCATCGTCTGCGTGTCAGCAATGTGACTGGAATGTTTGTGGGGCAGTTTGGGATGCTGGAGATGAAGAACTTGAACTTGGATTTAGTCTTTATAGATTACCACACTATTTCTTACGGTGGCTCTTAGAATATGCCCAAACAAGGATACAGTGAATAGCTCTTTGGCACAAGTCCCCTTCTATTTAGGCCATGACTTACAGGCACTAGAATAGGGGAAGTGAATGAGGACATAATGGGCTTTTCAGACTGACCTGGTGTTGAACTCTGACTCATTGTGTACCAGCTGAGACGTGGGGAAGGTGCTCACCTCCCTTAACCTGCCTCCTCCTGGGCTGTGAAGTGAAAATAGACACTTGACTTCCTGGGTTCTCAGGAAGGTTAATGAAGAAACAGGGTGAACACCAAGGAGGCAGGCTGATACCCAGCAGCCTCCAAGAAACATGCTTCCTGCCACCTCCCATCACTCTGTCTCTCATCCTGGAAACGGGGTGCTGCCTACCCCCTTTTTTGCCCAGATCCCAGATGGCTTCTAGGCAGACCCACAGGATTAAAGGCCTCGGTGACAACTGAGGGCTATGGAGTCCTTTCCCTCTTGAAAGCTCTGTCCCCTTCCTCTATGTGTATATTGACCCATCTAACCTTCCCTACAGCCTCAAGGGAGGAAGAACTTTATGAACCCTTACCTTGGAAAAGGTGAAATCAAAGCAAAGAGAGGTGAAAGCACCTGCTCCAAGTCTGCAATGGAGTGAGCTGGCTCGTGGTACAGCCAGCACTGGGACCCTGCCCTCTGCCATTCTGCCCCGAGCCGTGGGACAGTAGGGATCACACCTCCAAACTCTTATTCTGCACAGAAGTAGCCATGCAGAGCAGAGGAGGGAAGTCTCACAGGATCTGGAAAAAGTGGAAGCTGGCTGTCTCTGAGAGCCAGAGAGAGACTAGAACTGGGGCAACTTAGCAGAGAACTGTCCCACAAGAAGCTGTTCTTTTAGAATAGTTTGGTGCTGAATGGAAGGGTCAAAGACTCAAATAATTGCTTGCATTTGTTGTGCATCTTCACGGGCACCCTCTGAAGTAAGCCTCCCAACAACTTCAGAGGAGGTGTTAACTCCCATTACCAACTAGGAGATGGAGGCTCATTGGGGCAAAGGGGTTGGATCCCACAAGGTCACATGGCTACCCGTAGCAGGGTTGGGCAACCCCAGGTCTGTTCTGTTCTGCACCTGCTCTGCCAAGCGAGAATAGGCTACTTGCCCCAGGACCCATCCCCATGTGCCCACCTCACCTCCTTCATTCCAGCCCCACCCAGCCAGCCACCACAAGGTCACCATCCTGACCTCAAGGAGCAGGCTCACCCAGGGGCCAGACTGCTCCTGGGAATTCCTTCCAGAGGAGTGTGGGATGAGGGAGCCAGACAGACAGCTGTGGGGGTCAGATTCACAAACAGATCATTGCCAGGAGAAAGCCACAGGGCTCACTCAAGTCCGACCTCAACTAATAGGAATCTGATACAGCCAGATGCGGTCATAACTGTGCCCCAGGGGCCCTCAGGGGCTGGCAGGGACCCTTCATGACAGCTGCTGCAGAACAACAGCTATTCTTGCTGGATGATGGGCCCTCCCGAAGACCTTTGGGGCCAAGGGACGCCATATCCTGGTTGAAAGTGTGCTCAAGTGGGGCTAAGTCAGGGAACCATAGAGGAAGACAGGGCAGGCAGCCCTGGACAGGTGAGAGGCTAATATTCCACATGGAGAGACTGGAAGCCACTGTCATTCTAGGAACCACAGCTGGAACACATCCAAACACTCACCACACACATACTCCAAGCAAAAAAAGGCGGTTCCCAGAGTCCCAGTGGCCTGGATGAAGGCCCAGAAAATAACCCCTATACAGTTAAAAGAGGACGCAAAAGCTTAGCAGCCTGAGACTGCAGTGGGTGAGGCACTGGCTCAGCTTCTCCCAGTTCCCAGGAAATGAATAAAAGGTTCACTCAGCTCGGTAGGAGGCTCTGCACTGGCGGCTGCCTCTGACCTCGGCCATTCTGAACTCTCACTCAGTCACCCAGCCTGGCAGGCAGCCACAGGGCTCAGCTGCTGACTGGCAGCCAAAAAAAGGTCTGGTTTCTCTGAAGAAAAAGAAAACCAACTCACCTAATATCCCAAGGCATTTGGGTCAGGGGGGATTAGGGGAAGCATCTCCCAGAAAGCAGAGATCTGGATTGGGTGAGCCAAACTACTGCACCAGAACTCCCTCTGTACTGAGGGTGCTGCCTCTTCTCAGTTCCCCTGTAGTAACATGGCCTCCCACCTGGGGACCTGGGTCACCACCCCACTAGCCTCCTATCAATACCTAGGGCTCTTTCTCCACCTCCCTCCCTCTGCTTCAAACCTGGTGGGTGGGTGGGATTTTTATTCCTCCCTCCTCTGCCCCACTGGATCTCCTGGACCTATCAACAGGGGACACACTTCTCAGGGTCACACAAAGAACAACTTTCCCTCTCTATGTAGAATGTATTGTCACCTGCCACCTCTGTGACCTTGGACAGGATGTGAACTTCTCTGAGCTGCAGCTTCCTCCTCTATCATAATAGAAGAGGAGTAATAATACTGCTATTGAAAGATTCTGATGACTATCCAGAATCCATACAGGAAAATTCAGAGGCAGAAAGCACATTAGTGGTTGCCAAGCACTAGGGTTGGGGGATGGAAATGATTGCTAATGGATATGGGGTTTCTGTTCTAGAACTGGATAGTGGTGATGGCTGCACAGTTTGGCAAATGAACTTAATGCGACTTTTAAAAGTACACTTCAAAGTGATCGCAATGGTAAATCTTAGGTTATGTATATTTTATCACAATAATAAAGGGTTATTATGAGAACAAATGAATTGAGATTTGTAGAACTGTTGCTCATAGAGCCTGGTGTGATGTGGAAAATCCTCATCAGATTTTAATGTCCTTCCCTTCCTCAGATCATCACATTGAACTGGAGAAAACATGTCCCCTGCCATGTCTACCCTGGGTAAATTACTTTTCCATTTAGATCACTGCTCTGAGACACAGGTATTTTCCCACTCAGTGAATCCATGCATTCTTTATAAAGCAAAGCTCTTGTTATTAACCAGGGAGAGCATCAGATGTTGCCACCTCTGTTCTGCTATTCTCCTCCTGTCTCCCTGTGTCACTGGCCAGGTCCAGAATGGCCATATCCTGTGTCCTGCCAGAATGGGAAAAAGGAATGCCTCAGATCCAGGCTAGGGACTTCTTTTAGTATCGTCTCACTGTCTCTAAAAATACTATTATCCTAAAATAAAACTGATCATTGTTGGGAATCATTTTTTCAAGAGTCATTTCTGCCCATCTTGGGGAGCAGAGACACTGTTTTGGTTACATAATACTTTTTTTATGAAGACATTTGCTTTATTTTTAATTACTTTTTATTTTATGAAAAAAATAAAAATGTCATAATCAAATAATAAGAGAATAACAATAGTTATTACACTGTATATTGTTATCTTCAAAGTAATTACTCAGAGGGCCAGGGATTTAGCTCAGTCAAAAACCAGAGTAGTTACTCAGAGTATAAGACATAAAGCAAAAAGATTCTTACAATAAAAGAAACAAAAAGATAGTAACACTAATCTTTCTTTTCACCTAAGATACATATTAACTTTTCATGCATGTCTGTAGAGCAAACAGCCTGGGTGGAGACACATGGTGTCTTTCTCCAAAGCAAAGAGCAGGTGGGATAAGTGCCTTATAAAACATTCAGCTTCCCTGAGTTCAGGGTGCCTGCCATGTAATGCAACCCACAGTGTGCAGGGGTGACTGTTGGCTCTCTTTGAGCTCCTCTGTGGAAATAAGGGATTACAAAACTGGCACAAATAGCAAGCCTCAATTAGTGCTATTACTTGCTTTCCTCCTCCACTAGGCTCTAAGCTTCTTGAAAGTCAGCAACATGTTTTTGTTTATGTTTTTATTTCATAGAACAGCTATTAAACATTATTTCCTGGATGAATTCATGAGTGGATGGACGGATGGATGGAGAGTCTTCTTTTGTGTCATCCTGGCAGTCTTATCTGCCCCTGCCCCTCCCATTCTTATGGCTTTCTTAGCTCCTGACACCACACCCAATATTTGAACCATTTACCCTCCTAGCTACTTGCCTCTTCAAACCATCTGACATAATAAGACTTGAATATGATATCTTGGGGCCTTGGATTTACATGTTTGGGAGATCCTGGATCCTTGCCCTGATCTGGACATTTCTCTCTCTTGTCCTCCCAGCTCTATCCTATATTCAGCTCCATTCCCATCCTTATGACCTTGTGGTAACTTTCAGGCCTAAGATACCCAACAAGATATTGACCCAGGGTACAAAATCACACATTGTTGGTCACCTTTGAACTAGCCCTATTAAGATGTTTGTTTTACATATTTATGCCTGTTAGGATGAGAAGGTATCAGTGTCTGTCACATAATTGTTTGGCTAATATTTATTTAAATAATAGATGAACAAGCCTACAAGCCATAAATTATTGCCTCTTTTTTCCTTCTTTACTAGGGATTGAACTCAGGGCCCTCACACCGAGCTACATTCTCAGCCTTTTCTTTTGTTTTTATTTCAAGACAGGGTCTTGCTAAGTCACTAAGTTGCCCAAGCTAGGCTCAAACTTGCAATCCTCCCATCTCAACCTCAGAGTGTTGGGTTTACAGATGTGTACCACCATGCCTTGTGGCCTTCCATATTATTAAAGTTAGCCTCCTGGGTAATACAACTCAAACATACAACCAAGAGAAGAGAAACCTTCAATATCACTGCGCATTCCTTTTGACTCAGTATTCATGGGGCACACACATTCTACAGAATGGAAAAACATTGGCATGTGAAGCAATACACATCTGTCACTGAGGTAAGGACACAGCCTCTGTGTACAGCTTCCTTGCACACCATATACAATGTAGAGGATGATTACAAAAGTGTTCCTGGTCTACCTGCATTTTCAGTTGCAAACAGCTACTCACCTTTTCCATAGTAATGCAGAAAGACTGGCCAATTGGCCTCTTGCCAAGGGAAGCTGGCAGTGAATAGCTACTTAATGTACAGGCTTTGGGGGCATTTTCACACAGCTGAGAGAATCATTCAGCGGTAAACTGAAATGCCAAATCTATAGCTCAAGGATTCCAGATCCTTCAGTCACAGAAACACTATAATCTGCATGGTATCCACTTTCCTCACCTCAGTTCTGATCTTGATCTGAGAAGATCAAGTCTATTTTTTCTCCCCTAAATAGTAACATTTAATTGGATATTGTCTTCCATTAGATATCGATATTAGGCCTATAGCAGGGTGCTTGGTTAGTACTTATTTAATGAATAAATATTCAACCAGGCATGTGTTCATTTGTTTATACTTTATTGCACTATGGATCTCTGTCAATCTTCAAGAATTCATATATTAAGAAGCTGGGTGTGGTGGCACACGCCTGTAATCCCAGAACTCGGGAGACTGAGGCAGGAGGATCACTGTGAGTTCCAGGCCAGCCTGGGCTGCATAGTGAGTTCCAGGTCAGTCTCAACTACATAGAGACCCTGC